ACTACCACTAATATATATATATATATATATATATATATCGAGAGAGAGAGAGAGAGAATAATTTTGTGCTTTAACTATAAAAATAGTGCTTATTTATTATGGGATTGTATACTATGAGATCATTTATTTTTATTACGAGGAGGTCACAATTACTACTGACCGTCAAATTGGATGGCTTGGGATGTGTCACAAAGTTTGAGAAATATTTATTTTTGAATTTTGAGTCTAGTCAATGACACACTCACAAATACTCAATTTGAAATCGACATACAAGAGTAATTTGTGACCTCCTTGTATTAAAAGTAGATGGTCTCTTTATATACTTTTCCATTTATTATACCCGGGTTTATTATTGGTCTTATGTGTTTGAAATTGTGATCATTTTTTTAGAATTTGATGAAAATATGATAAAATAAAGAAGAACTCATAAAACCTTCAGTAACTGGATTCAATATTTAAAAGGAAGCTTGCTAGCCTAGCTTCAACTATGAATTCCCTTGAATTCTCGAGAACTACGTTGTTAAACAATAAACAACTCTAAAAAAACACGAATAAAATCCCTATTTAAAGACTTTATTTCTAATGTAGTTTGAATTCATAATTAGAACTGAACCTGAATTTTGTAACTTATGCCCCTTGAAGAAATCTAAAAGATAAAATTGTCTTAGAAAAGACCTTGAAAAGATACCCTGACTTTCCATGCACATAAATTTTCACTTCGATGTTGAACCCTATATTATAACCCCATTTCATTAACAGCAGCATAAATCCTATGACACCAAAACCTTTTTCTCGGTTTTGACCAATGAACTAGGCTGAAAAAGTTGTTTTATAATGTTCGAATGTTGACCATGAAGTTTGAGATGTGCACATTAGTGTTGTAAACGGTGTTCCAAACCTATTATGGTTGTTTTTATTTGTTTTGGCATTTTTCAAAGTCAAGGTACAGTTTTTAGTCTGATAATGCCTACAGACAAGGCTCTCCCATGGTTTTTTCAGTCCGGGCGTTTGGGAGCTTTCATTTTATGTGTGCTTCGAATTCATACAAGCAGCCAGCTTGGTCGGGGCTAAGGTTGAGGTTCGGGCTGGTCAAAGTCTTTACCATCTCAAAGATAGTAAGAGCTTCTCATTCGTTTAAGCTTTTTTGTAAAAGCAAATGATCATTATAGTTTTGGTGAAGTTTGAATTTTTGAGTCATTTGGAACTCTGTTCTTTTCAAAACTTCGAGCATTAAGTTCTGTTTTGAACCCAAATTGTAGTCTCAAAGAGAAATTACAAGCTTTGCAAAAATATTTGTGTTGTAATTTTCTTTGAACTTTGCTCTAAGCTAAGGAGTGCTTTCTATTACCGCATTTAAGATGAGATTGCTTTTTTGATCATGGCTAAGGAAAGACTACATCTGTACTTTCTAAAACTTTGAGCATTAAGCTCTGTTTTGAACCCAAATTATACTCTCATAGAGAAGTTACGAGCTTTGCGAAAAGATTTGTCATATAATTTTCCTTGAACCTTGCTCTAAGCTAAGGGGTGTTTTTTATTACCACATTTAAGAAGAGATTGCTCTTTTGACCATGGTTATGGAAAGATTACTGTATTGACCATGGATATGGTAATGCCTTAGACTGTTAAGAGAAATCTATTAAAATTTGGCTTTCGAGGACACAAAAATTAATAATATTAACCATGGTTATGGTAATGCCTAACACAGTTAAGATAAATCTATTAAAATTTGGCTTTCGAGGACACAAAAATTAATAATATTAACCATGGTTATGGTAATGCCTAACACAGTTAAGATAAATCTATTAAAATTTGGCTTCACCAAGCTTCATTTGGCATGCATTCTAGCAGTGGGAGTTGGACCTATAAAGATTAAATGTGCTGAACCTAATGGTGGCTGAAGAAATGGCTCGAAACAGGAGAATTGTAACAGTATGTGAAGGATTCATGCACAATAACCATGTCAAGGTTGCTACAATCCGTACAAACTAAATAGCGATATATGCAACTTCAACTAACTTGGAGAAATCAGAGGTTCATTACTCTAATTAGAAATATGCTCCTTGTCAATAAGTGAAAAAGGATGGAGAACTTGTTTGGCACCGCCATGCAATAGCAACATGGAGAAATATGCTCCTTGTCAATGAGTGAAAAAGGATGGAGAACATGTTTGGTACCACCATGCAATAGCAACTTTATGGGTGATGCTTGTATATGATGTCAACCTTATACCGTTGAAGTAAGGTGCACCTCAAAAATATGTTGAAAATGCAGTTTTGAT